TCAAGTGCTGAAAGTCCAAGTCGTAAGAGCGTAAAAGATCGCGCAGTTAAAAGCCCGTGGTAGTGCCAATAACAGCCAGCACAATAATAACAACCAGAATAACAACCCCAAGGGAAATCATCCATCGATTAAGATTCCTCCACCAGCGCGCATTATCCCTCCTCCTTTGCTGCAGATTGATACACTGAGCCTCAAGCGCCATACCAACGTCCGAACCAGCCTCGAACTCGACCATCGGCGCGAGCTTCGGTTTAGGCGGCAGCGGCAAGAACGCTGCCACACACCACGCCGGTGGGAAAAGGAACCCTAGACAGAAAGAATAGACTTGAATATTGCGACGGCCGAGGACAGGCTCGTAGCGCGAGTCGAGTGATGGCGGCCGCCATCGACTTGTCGACTGCTGCAGAACACGTCTGTCCGGGACGAGGTGCGGTGACCAGCTGTGTCGGAGGCGGTAGAGGTGGCTTCCGGTGAACTCGCCGTCTTCGGGTTGTGGGGATGGGACCCAGTGAGCGCGTGGATCGCGAGGGTCGCTTTCTAGGCGGCGTTGGGGAATTCGTTGGCGTTGTGGGGAAGGGGTGCGGGGACGTTCTGGGGAGCGGGGACGGGAGATGTTGAGGGGGCCTGGGACGAGGTTGAAGACGCTTGAGTTTGAGGTTCCGGGGCGGGTTGGTGGACGGGAGCCGTCTACCATAGAGAGAGTTGAGTTTAGGCCCATTGGTTCACGGAGGTAGTAGACCTTTGCCCATGTCGGGAGGATGTTGAAGATTGTGCTTGAACCCGTGCCTGGGCGTTGGAGGCTGCGGGTGCTGTTGCTTCGCTTTGAGCCGGAGGAGAGGCTTTGAGAGAAGATTGGCCGGGTGGGGAGCTTGGTTAGGCTGTCGAGGCGTTCATCTTCACTGTCGTTGGAAGGGTCGACGAGCCAGACGGAGGATCTGGTTGTTTCTGTTGCCAGGGCTGCTGGTGGTGGTGGGGTTGGCTCTGCCATTTCGCGGTCTGAGTCTGTTTCTGGTTCTCCGGCAAGGTTGGTTGATTCGTCGGCGGACCAGATGGATGAGACTGTTGATAGATGCGGGTTCCAGCGTCCTGATGCCAAGTGGGGGTTGCAACGTCCGGATGCAGGGCCAGGGGTGAAGTCGCGCTCTGATGAGACTGATGTGCCGGCGCGGGAGCTTGAAGACGAAGGGGCGCGAATACGCGGGTATTGAATAGGCACGCCATTGTCGATGGCTGCCTGCAAGTCAGAAGCAGAGCGCAGGCTGCGCGAGGAAGATGTCGCTGATTGAGAACGGCTGCCTGATGGTGCCCTCGATGACGAGCGGAACGAAGCTATGGATTGTGCCAGCGGGCTTGAGTGAAATGAGGCTATAGATTGCGCGGGCGGGCTGGAATGGAATGACGCGGATCCATAGCTCGATTGCTCGGATGAGGCGGGCTGGAAGGCGTTCTGGAACCAGGGTGCAGAGCCGACGTGCCTGACGACGGTCCCTCGTGAGTTGTACGAGGAGAGCGAGTTCCTTCGCTGGTCTGACTCTGAGGAGGCTGTAGCCGGACGGAAGTTCATACTCGAGTTATCCAGCATAACAAAGTTGGGACTTGACGGGGCCCCGATTTGTTCGAGGATGGGGCTGGAATAGCCAGTCACGGACTCCGCTGAGGACTTTGGCGACATGGATGGCTCCGAGAGTACAGCTTTTATCGTTGGTGTGGTCGTCGGCAAGACCATCATTTCGTCATCTGAGAACTCAGCTTCTGAACTCTCAGACCCATAGTCTGGTGCTTTCCCCGAGACGTCTGGCAGCGATGATTTGCTAGAGGATGGGTCATCGTCCCACAACTGCGGAGGCGAGTTACCGGTATCCACGGTGGAGGATACGTCCCAGCTACCAATTGAGAGATCTCTCGGGCTGTTAGGTGCCGGTTGGCTGAAAGCCGGTGAGGCATATGTCGACGTTGACGGTCCCAGGTGATCCGAATAGCTAAAACCGGTGTCTGATATGTACCGTTGTTGTCCTTTTCCAGGGAGCGGTAACAGAATCTGCTCGGGTTTGGTCGGGAATGGCGTCGTGGTGTACATATCAAGCTCTTCATCGGGCACCATGCGCAATGACCGGGTTGGTGATCTTTCATTCGAGTGAGAGGGAGTACGCTCGTGTAATGCCCTTCGCACACGCGGCGAGGTCGAGCGAACGGGAAAAGACATTATTTGGACACACTTAGGGCATTGATTGAAAAAGATGGATTCGAATAGAAGTGAAAGGCGAAGGCAATTGTCAAAGCAAAGCGTGTAAACAAGATGTAAACAAGCTGTCAAAAGAGTGGGTTGTTGTTTTTCCGAGTAATTCGAGTATTCGATGTAAGGAATGTGGTACCCTTTGATATCAAGGGTTGTTCTATAGGCTGATGTTCATCTAAAAAAGAGCGTGGGTAGACGTGCACAGGTTCGTCAATTAGTCGTTTCAAACATCCAAAGCCATTAAGAGAGCGACTGGTGAAAAAACAATCATTAAAACGTTTCAAAACAAAAAAGGGACGCGAAAAGCACAGGAGAAGAGAAGCACGAGAAGCAAAAGCAGTTGAGACACTCGAAGGGGGAAAGAATTTTGACCCAGCGGTGAGCGCCTAAGCAGGTGAGATCTTAGACTGCAGGGGGGATGGATGATGCAGCCTGCATGGACTGGACTGGACTGGAGAATTGACACTTGGTGGCTCTTAACGATTGGTCGGGATGCGATCAAAAGCACGAAACTGATTTTCTCTTTTCTCGTGGTTGTGGTTGTTCTGGTTATATTTCTTATATCCCTGGGTTCTATGTTTATATTTTATCCTACGTACTACTACGGAGTAGGCTACCTATGTTTAATTGCTAAAATCCATAATGCGGAGTACACTGAGCCACAATGAACTCCTTCAAACGTATTTTCTCATTTAATTTCAAGGTGGAGACTGTGTGCGTTGTCCCTAACGAACTCCCACTAGTTATAGCGTCTCCATGGCAGAACAGCAGATCAGAACAATTATGAGACGCTCATTGCCAATAAATATTCTGTTTCCTCGTGACCGGAGAATAACTGTCCACGATCCCTAGCATTGACTCACATTTAAAATGAATGGCACTCAAGGGGGGTGAGAGCTCACATCCTGTTTGTGCACGGTCCACCAGTTCTGATTGGGATCGCCTTTCTTAAGGACCCTGTTCGAACTGTTGAAACTGTTATACTGTTCAAGTTTATATATAGAATCGAATATATATCAAATCTGTCAAATATCCAAAGAAGAACAATCGTAAGAATTCACATTGATTCCCCTGTATGAGTCCATGGTGCACGGTGACAATACCATACTGTATTCTACCATTTTCAACCAATCACCACCTTCCTCTCTGTACGGTAACAGGAACAAAGAACATCCAGACCCTTTCCTCTATCTCTCATAAGAAATCTCATGAATCCCATAAATAGTAACCTCCCAACTCTGCAGATCATGGCACCCGTAGGGATAATGGCTCGACTCAAGAGTCTATACTCCAAGCAGGGTAAGTCAGGGGGAAACCCTAAAAGAAAGGAGTCTCAAACTAACACGAACCCAGATGAACCTGCCCTGTCAGACCAGACGGTCGCTTTTCTATCTGTATGTAGAACAACTCCTAGAAATACGAAAGACACCAAAAGAAAAAGGAAGGAACACACTTCAGTCTGCATCCTCGTATCTAACCCATCCAGGTCATCCTCACACTACTCTACGTGGTACCATTCTATCTCTCCCCAACAACCCGCCCATCCCCAACTCTCAGTCGCGATGCCCCGTCCGTGATTCGCGCCCGCATCCGCGCTGTCACGGGCTCCTGTATCGTGAGCTCGGTCCTTGTCCTCTGGCTCATCGTCGAGGAGGATAATTCCTCCCTCAGCGCCGGCCTCAGGCTCCTCGGCTGGTGGCCCGTCGGCGTGTTGGAGACGCTTCGAAGTCTTTCCCTAACCGCCATTCTGTTCATGGGCCCGCTCTTCGAGCGTGGCATTGTCGAGGGCGAATGGAAGTTCTGGTTCCGTCCTAGTAAGCTCTCCGAGAGTCTGGGTGGCTGGATTGGATGGAGGAATTATGTCGCGGTATGTACTGTCCTTTTTTGGTCCAAAAAAAAAAAAGAAAAACCAAAAGAGGCCAATCTAACATCCTCCCAGGGCCCCTTCACAGAAGAAGTGATGTTCCGATCTGCGATGGTACCGCTACATTTACTAGCACACACCTCGCCAGGCCAGATCGTGTTCCTGGCACCGCTCTATTTTGGCATCGCGCACGTGCACCACTTCTACGAGTTCTGTCTGACGCACCCGGACACGCCGGTTCTAGCCGCGCTGCTGCGGTCGCTCTTCCAGTTCGGCTACACGACTATCTTCGGCTGGTATGCGACTTTCATCTATTTGCGGACGGGCTCGTTGCTGGCTGTTGTTGTCGTCCATAGTTTCTGTAACTGGTGTGGATTGCCACGGTTCTGGGGCCGTGTTGAGGCTGCTGAGCCTATTGGTCCCCCTGTGACTCGGGGTAAGGAGGATTCTGATGATATCAAAGTCGGGGTGATGGGTAGTAATGGGGGTTTGGGTATTGGGTGGACAGTTGCTTATTATGTGCTTCTTGTTTCTGGGGCGGTCGGTTTTGCTCAGGGTTTGTGGCCTTTGACTGACTCTTACCATGCTCTGGTTTCGTTTTCGGGGAAGTCGAATTAGGTTCGGTATAGCTTGTGACGTTTCGGAGCTAAGCTCGGTATATTTTTGATTTGCTTCCAGCGTCTTCTTTTGGGGCTGTTATATTTGGTGTTCTGTTTATATATTATGTCGTCAAATGACTCATATATGTGGAATAAAGATCCCCTGACTAGCGTATGGATAGTGTATGTACAGTATAGCCTAGCAGCTGGAGGCGATATATATCAGCTCGTGCACTTATTCGGATCAACTTGCTATGGGTATAGCCCGGTTTACTATAGGCCTCTTAGCTTAAATGCGGATTGATACATATAAAAATGAGCGCCATTCCTAAAATATACATGTATATCCCACGACCATACAACATAATCCGGTCTTGTTGTCGTTACACTCGGAATCATGTGATAATTGTATCAGCACGTGACTACATGCTGATACCCTGTCGTATACGTCATGTGATGAATAGATAAGAAGATAGATAGGGATGGTCTTGGAAAAATGTTTTTAGCGACCCTTTCTTCGCAGCCTTATCGTTCTTGTTCTTAATATGGAGGCCAATGATCAGGCCCGGTATTCAGATACAGTGAGGCCAAGTAGCTCTACCCATGTTGCGAGAAAGAAGACTGTTGGGCCCTCGGTGCACCTTCTTGCAGGCGCGTAAGTCTTTTTCAGCTGTAGTCTTGACTTTTCTGACATTTTCAATAAAGGAGTGGTGGTTTAGCTACCGCTATTGTGACGTCGCCCCTCGATGTGTTACGAACACGCCTTCAATCCGACTTTTATCGAACTAAAAGTACTAGCGCCTCCCAATTAAATCAGCCTGTACAGACAAATCAGAGAACAATGCAGGTCATCAACTCCATTTATCGTGCTGAAGGCTGGCGAGCCTTTTTCCGAGGCCTCGGTCCGAGCATGGCCGGTGTGGTCCCGGCGACTGCGATCAAGTTTTATGTCTATGGGAATTGCAAGCATTTTGGGGCTAAGATGCTAGGACGTACAGAAGACTCCCCCTTTGTCCACGCCCAGGCTGCAATCTGCGCAGGACTAGCGACTTCTACAGCAACAAATCCAATATGGCTGGTCAAAACAAGACTACAACTTGACAAAACAGAAATCGGTGGCGTTCTCACTCGTCGATATCGCAATAGCATAGATTGCATCCGGCAAGTCTTCCGCAATGAGGGATTAAACGGCTTTTATAGAGGGTTAAGCGCTAGCTATCTCGGCTCGATTGAAACGGCTCTACATTTGGTGCTTTACGAACGTCTGAAAACTAGCCTTCATCAGTCATTAGAAAATACCGAGGGAACACGGTCTGCCTTTTTGGACGAATTCTTTCATTGGGTTAGTACTAGTGGTGCTGCAAGTTCTGCGAAGCTAGCCGCGGGTCTAATCACATATCCTCATGAGGTAGGCTATTTCCGGGCATTTGTCTTCCGTCTCACGCTCACATCCTTAGGTTATTCGAACGAGATTGCGCCAGGCGCCTATGGAGAATGGCCGGGCCAAATATACGGGCTTGTTACAATGCTTCCGTTTGATCGCTAAAGAGGAAGGTATGGCGGGCTTGTATGGAGGCTTAGTTCCCCATATGGTTCGGTCTTTACCGTCAGCTGTCATTACGCTTGGCGTATATGAGTTTGTGCTGAGGATTACTGGGAGCTGAGGGTCGCTGGGACCTGTAAGCCCGAACTTTGTACACTATGGATATATTGAGGTCACTGGGACCTTATTTTTGTACATTATGGATAGATTTTCTGCATTGCAGTGCAGTCTGCATGTACCATTTACAAATGTCATGTGATAGGTGTTAGAAATACTAACTAACTAGTTATAGGAGTACCATAGATACTTCTATCATTTTCTCCCGCACGAAACACGATACATACGACCATAGGGTGTGGAAAATAGGGCTTCCTGTCCGCTCAGCCGTACTCCATTGGCGTATGTCTAGCACGGAGATCTCTCCAGATCTTCTACCACAGGAAGCCCTTGGTACCCAGGCTTCCTATCGCAAAAGAGCCGGCCAGATCTCCGTGCTAGCTAAATATCAATAACTGGTATATGCAGTCTCTCACGGTTGCTTAACGATTCAACATCTTAGGATCATTCTTAGGATCATCGAGCGTCCTTGGATATTTGCAGTCATCAAATTTAATCTGGTCACTCGTTTCAAATCCATCGTCAAACTTTGCAGAATCCTATACAGTGAGAGTTGAAATCAGACTCCCCATAAGTCACTTAGGCGGTGTTTGTTGGCACCTACCCGAACTCCCCCAGTCTATTTTTGGCTAAGCTGTACATAACCATTTTCTAAGAATACATTGCTTTTATTCTAGAACAACTATACCAGCACAATTGTAACAAGGCAAATTTACAATACAAAGAAGTGCAAAACCAGCTTCACCGATGTGCACTCAATACTTAGTCCTGGGGCCCACTGCTAAGACGCTAGCTAGTGCACTCTAGGAAGAGCCAGATCGAATTACGTCTACTCCATTCGTTATACTGTCTGCAATCTGCTACTAAATCAGTACTCATAAACGCTGCGCGCGTAATATAACTTGTTGGTTCTCATCCTGTGACATTGCCTTCGTCCCATACCCTTCCCTAGCATAGAAGCCACCCCCGGCTTAACGGGAGCCCCTAGAAACCGAGTGGCTAGAAACACAGCGAAAAAATGTCTTCCATGAAGATATAGAAGCTTGACAAACCGGACAAGTCTTGGGATGAGGCTTTTCTTGTCGGTATTTCTCTGTATCAGCAAGCGTGAGTTCCACCTTGTGAGCTCTTAAAACGTGCTCTCTCATGTTGTCGAGCCTACTGAACAACCTAAATTCGCCCCCGACGGGATCAGAACATTCTGCCGCAAGGCATCAATATAAATGCCGAGCGTAGTGTCGATTGATCACATGTCGCTTGAATGTACCAATGCTATGTGTTGTCCACAGGTTCCCGCATAGGCAGAGCGGACAACGGAATTGAGTTTGGCCTGTGGCACTGTGCCGGTGCAGAGTTGCCCTGCGCCTTGTCGATATCATACGCGACGAACTGTCAAACTGATTCCGATGCATAGACTTCTCAGCAGTGTCGTGCATCATGCTGTCAATATTATCCGAAATGGGGGCCTGCGTGATTTGATTGCCATGTCTCCAATGAAGCAGCTGGACCGCTCTTTCGTGGCCGTAATGTGGTGCCCAGAATAGAGGAGTTCGGCCTTCTGTATCTTTGGAATTTGGCTGGGCGCCTCTTTGGATCAAGAGAGTAAGCATATCGATGTGACCACTCTCTGCAGCCCAAGATAGTGGAGTGCGACCGAACATATCCTTTGAATCTAAGTCAACAGACTTTTCCAGCAGGAGCCGAGCGACTGCCACCCAGCCATTGGAAGCCGCCCACGATAAGGGGTTTGCCCGTTCTCGTCTTTGGAATCTGGATTAGCACCCTTATTAAGTAGCAATTCAATAACTCGCTCGTGGCCACGATACGCAGCCAATGAGAGGCAAGTCTGGCCAGTAATGTCTTGAGAATCTATGTGAGCACCGTGCTCTAGCAGGAGGCTCACAATGTCCACCCAGCCGATTGAGGCCGCTAATGTTATCGGGCTTTGGCCATCGTAGTCGTAGGCGATTGGGCTCATACCGAGGCTCAATAGGACTTTGATTGGCTCAACGTGACCAGCGTACGTTGCCCATGCCAAGGAGGTACGTTCCATTGAGCATTTCACCATATATGGATAACCCGACTGAATCATAAGCCACATCGTATCAACAAGCATAAAGTATGCGGCAAGATGGAAACTAGTAAAACCTAGCGGAACTCGTAGGCTGTATTCGCCGAGGCTTGAGAATGTTTTCCGGGCAAACATCGCTTGTACAGAAGCGCTCACTTTCAGCGAATCTTGAAAAAAAGCCATTATTAGGTCTTGACCTATGGCTTGCGCTCGAGCATGGTCGCCCCAGTGTGTGGCAGCATAAGAATAGAAAGGGTATTCGTTTAGCCGTGATTCGAAATCGGTGTCAGTGAGACAAAAGCCTGATTGGAAGACATCGAAGGAAAGATATGTGACGCAGGTTGTCGCAATGTTACTGTGTGCATCAGGGAACCAGCGAGTCCACGTCCGCTCAAAGTACTCCTGTGTGGTGTAGTGGACTAACTGCACAATATCGCCAGAGCCATCAGTTGAGACTGCAGCCAAACCTGCACACACAGAAATGATGTCTTCGAGATTTGGAAGGTTATCCTTGTAGAACTTTGATTCCTCAAACTCTACTGCAAGAGCATTCAGTAGCTCTGTCGTTGTCAGAGGTCTTTTGGCACATGTCATCCATGATAAGACCTCCCAAGCCAAGTTCTTTTGGTCTGGGACTTGTCCCATTCGTTGCATAGCTTCGTCGTATGCAGAATCATATGCTGACTCAGACGCTTTTGGACCAGTTCCCATTTTTCCAAGCTCAAATCGAAGAGCTCTTAGCGATCTCTTCCCTACCAATGAATTCAGATAGAGTTTTGCTAGCAGAAACCTAGAAATTCGTTAATGATAAGGATAAGCGAAGATAAAGGATTGCCACTTGCATGCCATTGACTGCGTCAGTAATTCCAGCCGTGATCTCTTGCTGTAACTGTGGATCCCGGGATACAAATGATGGCAGCTTGCATAAATTGCCAGTCAGATACCCTATAACGTCTGGTCTGGCGGCACTAATCTCTTGTATCGGCTTCTCCTGAAAATGAGCCATGATCTCTGGTATATATCTTGAGGTTGCCAAAAGATTCAAGTTTGATGTCATCTGAAGACTGAAGATCCTATCCAGAATCTGTGATATAACGTGGTATTGGCTTTCGTCTAGAGCATCAATAACAACAAAGAGCCGTGAGAACTGACCGGTGATTGAGCCCAAAGCTCTAGAAAGCTCCTCGGTAGTCGGACGCGTCGTTAATTGATTCGCATTGGCTCCAGCAACAGTCAAAAAATACGCCGACATATCGAGCTGCGTTGCTTTTCAAAAAAAAAAAAAAAATCCATCATAGGAAGCCCGACAAGCGAAAGACATACGTTAAACAGCAGAATCGAGCCACGTCTTCTAATTTAT